ACTATAAAAAATCATTTTTCTCATAAAAGCTACACTCTAAGGATTACAACTATCTGCTTTATATTTAATTTTTTCAAAAAAAATTTTTCACATAAATTGCAATTTTGACAAAAAAAATCGCATAGCTCAAAAACAAACAAAATTTCGTTCTGAAAATACGATCACATTTTTTGTATTACTTTAATTTATATTAATTATTATTTTCTGGAGACAAATGATTAAAAATAAAACTGCTTGGTTCCATACTTTATATTCACCCTGTATATTTACAGAAGTTGCAATAAAATTGTTGTTACAATTAATAGTGTCGGAATTATACCTGGAATAAGTTTATTAAAGAATATGACTGAAATCTTCGACTCTGCGAGTACACCCGACAACTCGGGGATAAAATAGCTCCGCCCATAAGCCCTTAGCTTTCCCACTTACTTGAACTATGATAAGTTGTGAATTGAGGTGCCATCTATTGAGCGCTAAATATTCCGTTTTTTGTAAACCTTTTTCTAGGTACTTTAAAGACAAATTAGCTTCAATGTTTTTTAAATACAATTCATTGCACCTATTCTATGCTTCTACGGCTCAGTTTTGTTTAAAAATTTTTTTTGGATATTTTAAACGTCCTTCCATCTTTAACAAAATTTTAATTTAAAAAAAATCGATCGTGCAAACAAAGATAATATATAACCTAAAGTGTATCCCAAATTTCATATGGATTGGTTGAAAAATAAGACAAATAAATAGTGACAGGTATCTCGAAACGCGTGAATCCTCCTCTTAAGGCACTTTTTTACAAGGAATCTGTCATCGTATTTTCCAAGGCACTCTGAATATTAGAGTTACAACACTCAACTTTGGATTTTCTTGTATGGACGCCATATTCGATTTCTGAATTCTGAAATTTTTTGTTCCTGATTACAACGATATGTACCACAGGATATGATTAAATTTTACATGCTGATCAAAATTTGAAAAAAGCGTTTTTTCAAAGAGTGCTTTGGAAAAAACGCCACCAATTTTAATTAACAAACTAAATTTTGATAGTTCAATTGAATTTAGATCTGGAATTTACATTTCCGTCAAACTTACCAACTTAAAAACAAAGGTTTTGAAATAGGAACAACGTGATAAACTATAGAATTTACTCTTCGCAAAACAAAACAACACAAAGTTATAAAAGATGCTCAAATGCACCAGCTTCAAAATGTAGTTTGTTAATTAAAATTCGTGGCATTTTTTCCAAAGCACTCTTCGCAAAAACTTTTCTTAATTTTGATCAGCATCTAAAATTTGATCATATCGTGTGATACATCGTTGTAATCAGAAACAAAAAGACTTTTCAAAAATACAGAAATCAAATATGGCGTCCATAAGAAAATCTAAAGTTGAGTGTTGTAACTGATATCAAAAGCGCTTTGGAAAATACTATGACAGATTTAGAATCCTTGTAAAAAAGTGTCCTAGTTAAAAACGTCTAAGTCTTTTAGTTTTCGCTTGAGAAAATAGAAACGAAAATTACAAATTTCTGAGATCTCCATGGTGGAGCTCGAAAAACGAACACCCTGTATAGCTATACCACTATTAAGAAAAAACATAGGTATAGTTACGTAGATTTCAAAATTTTATTCTAATTCTTCTTTAGGAGTAATAATTAACATTATCTTTTGTTTTTATTAAAAATTGAAGAGTATTTCTATAGAACAATTGTTTTAATCATTTGAATCCAAGTATGCGTTTTTTTCAGATTATAAATTATTAAAATGAATTTTTAATTTACTTTATCTAAGTACGCAAGTGCGAAGCTAATAACAATATAATTAATTAAAACTAAATGCAAATGATTGTTCGGTAGGATTGTTTTGCAAGATAATTAGTAATTTATAGCTCGAAGTTATTGTTATTCCGTACATTTCGGTAGTTAAATTTGCAGAAAAACGTGTGGAATGCCTTCCAATTAGATTTAAAATAGTTGCGATAAAAAAGTCGACAAAATTTGCAACCTGATCGTCATAAAAAATTGCGATTCGTCGTCGAGTCCTTGGGCGGTTCTGAATCCCCGTCGGTGGTTTTCTCGACCTTGTTGGAAAAACTCGCTCACGTACAATTGAAATTAACAATTTTACAATGAAATTAACAGGAAGCGAGATAATAACATATGTGAAGCATGAAAGGGGAACCAAGAACCATCTGCAGAGTAACACCGACGTGTCCATTTTAGCGATTCTTGCACGATTCGGTCCCATCTTATTGATTTTGTGAAGAAAAAGGGGATAATTAAACGTTTGCCGATTGCGCCTATTAATAAAATATGAGCATAATCGTGGCATACGTGGTTGACTGCTTCATCAAACATTCATCCGATTTTCCGGAAGTTACTGTAATTTCAAAAGTTTACGACAACAAAGAACAAAGAAAAAATGCCGGACGATCATCAAATTAGTGGAAAATTGCACGAAAAAACACGGTACAAAAATGGCAGAATTGTGCTGATCAATGGTGTTTCAGCATTAGAAAACTAAGCAGTCCATTCAAGGTCTTCCCCTCTCTTCGATCCGTAGAAGGAAAAAAGTCGCGAACAAAGAACAATTTTATGCCATGCCTCAATGTTTCGTTCAAACGACAAACAACCTTATTAATAGACGAATTAATTGTTAATGGAAAACACCGCAAAAACAACGCTCGGATTCGTAATCGCGAGGGCGAAGGTGACACCGACGCTGTTCTCGGTTCCTCGTGGAAAAATGAATTTTCGAACACTTGTAGAAATTTTACATTGAATAGGTCGACAATGATATTCTTTTTTACTTTTTTTTAAGTAAAACGTATCGAACACGGTTTTGCTTTTATGTTTTAATGTCGACCAATTGTCACTGAATCTTGAATTTAGTTCGCCGTTAAATGCAATTTAGGATTAGATAGAGAATGGCGCAAGAAGGTCAACTGTGTACGGGACATTTCAGGCCAAGTTGACCGTTTTCTAGAACTATAGACACGTAATTGATCAGCGAAACAAGATGCCAAAATTATTATTAACACACTTATCACATGCATCTTCAATGAAGTAAACAACGTGTAAATAAACAAGAGATGCAAAAGATAAGTTGTTTTGCGAAAAATCATAACAATTTTTTTTAATGTATGTACTGAATTTGCTTATTTAGGTATACAGGGTGATTCTTAAATAGATCGACAAAATTTTATTAGCTTCCCAAGGTTAAACGAAGACAAACTGTACCCTTTTTACGTTTATATCTTTTAGGGGCAAAACCCCCTTGATCCGTGGCACTTACGGCGTTTATGAATTGTTGCAATGATCAAGTACATTTTCATCAAATACCATGGTTTCCACTACCTGTGCTAATACTATTTACAAACACATCAGTGGCGTACGCTTTACCTCAAAAATAACTTTAATAATTTTGTTTGGAGAACGATTAAACAAAGAATTTTTTAAATATTTTTTCCAGCATGTACTCATTTGATATTACCAAGGATAAATTTTGTCGGTCCATTTAAGAATCATCCTGTATTTATACTTAAGTTTATAAAAATACACTTTCTTAGATATAATCTACGAGTACTTATATGTTCAAAATTTTCTGTGATACTTACGACCACAAAGCACTTAATTATAATAATCTTTAAAATATTATGAGAAAATATTATAATAGTACACTCCCACGCAATTAGAAAAGAGGTATTACAATTAAATGAGTACAGTATAGTAGGTATAAAAGATTAAAAAATATATCCTGACTTTATTCTATAATAATAATAATTAATTTGCCAAATCAGCTTAATTGTCCATAATCTCCTGAAATACTGAATGAATAAACAAAGCAATACATCAACGTAGAAAATAAAACTCGTTTTGAGACAGAACATGTTGAAATAATTAATAAAAATATATTTTTCTTGTACTAAACCTATACCTATTAAATATAAATAGTTTATAAATAGAAATATGTCGGTTAATTTCTGGTGCAGAACAATAATTTATGAAATAAAAATTTTAAAAATAATTATGTAATTATGTAATTATATAATAATTATTTTAAAGAATTTTTATTGCTGTTTCAAAATAACTCAAGAAAAAGAAGGAAATTTATCTTGACGTATAAACGTATCTCGAAAAATGTCCAAAAACAACAGACTTTTTGTTATTAGTTATATGATGTTTTATTATAAAAATACAATTTTTGTTGATTATAGGTATTATAGGTATTGTGAGGAATTATTTTAAATTAAAACCAAAACAGTTTAGAGTTTTTGTTTCAAAAGGTTACTACATACAAAAAACATCCCACTCCTACATATAAAAACTAGCAAATCTACTTTTTTTAATTTAATTTTTGAGTGAGTATACCTACAATTAACATGTATAGGTCAATATTTTTGTATTTGAATATTTTGATTAAAAAATCTAAAGACAAACAAGCCTAAAATATGTACTTTGCCAACAAAAATTATAAAAAGTGTACCTATATAAAATACAAAAAAATTTAGGTTTAACCATTTACAACGCTATTTTTTAAACAACAATGTAAAAATCCATTCAATTACCTATACTTATCTAGATATAATATGAATAAATTTC